CAGTAGACTTTTTATCATAACATAGCTTCATCGAATAAGCAGACGTTTTCAAGTCTGAACGCACTTGATGGTGAAAATCATCCATCCTTTCAGATAACACTTTCACAAACTCTGACACATTCTCAGGCAACTCTTCATAAGGTGGGCGTCATGTTAACAGATCCACTGGCAACCGAAGTTCCCGACCAAACATCAACTTTGCTGGAGTGTATCCAGTGGCTTCATGCTCTGCTGTTCTATAGGCCATCAACAGCGGAGGGAGTAAGACATCCCAGTCATCTTGGCGGCTATTACAAAACTTTGCCAATTCCCGTCCCAGTGTCCAATTGTACTTTTCTACCATCCCATCAGACTGTGGGTGAAGTGGCATTTTCCTGGTCTTTCATATGCCAAAACAACTTGCAGCATTCATGGAACACAGCTGATTCAAAGTTATGGCCTTGATCTGAATGCACTTCGTATGGCATACCAAACCTGAAGAAGAAATCACTAATAGCCGAAGCTACAGTGGTAGCTTATTTATTTGTTATTGCATATTGCACACAAATCTACCTGTTTCCAGCACAAGTTTGGGGCAAAGGACCAGCAATGTCAATGGCTGCTTATTCCATTGGTGCACCAAGTTTATATAACTTCATTGCAGCACGTCCCTTATGCTTGGGTCTCTTTTCAGCACAACATGTACTGCAGGTCCGGCACCATTCTTCCACATCTTGCCTCATACCTATCCAGTAAAATCTCTGTCGTAAGTGACTCAATGTCTTCTTAACTCCAAGATGTCCTCCTGTTAAATATCATTGGAGTGACGCAGCACAACTTCCAGTAACTTTCTCAGTACAACTGTTTGCCAGGTCATCACTTTCCCATCTGCAGTTTCCCACTTCTGAAGAAGAATGCTATTTTCAAACTTCAACTGGTCCCATTGTGCCCAATAGTTCTTTGTAACAGGGCTTAAGCTAGACACCTTCTCCCAAGCAGGGTGCAAAACACTTGCTTGTAGAAAATCAATTATTGGCTTCAAATCTTGGTCTTTCTCCTGTTGTGCTTTAATATCTATACCTGGTTCCATTTCATCATCATCATCATCAACTCCTTCATGCAATTTGACTTCAGCTTGATGGCACCTGGTTTGTCCAACCTCTCTTTTAACAGTTACCGGAACTTGGCCTTTGTTGTTCCCAAACGTCATTTTATCAAAGTTAACTACACACCTCATCGGTA